TTGCTGCCATGCTCCGTAACGTATAATTCCTTTTTTTCCACGGTACTTACCGTATACCATTTCATATAAATTATTTTGTACTTGCCATGTGCCCAGTTGTATAATTAATTTTGTAATTGCCACATTAATCTTTAAAATATTTATTTCGCACGTTGTGCTGTGTAAAATATAACATTTCTGATTACCCTAACTCTCTCTTATTATTTAACTAATATATTGAATATGTATTATTTTTTCTCTTTCTTCCCCACAATAAATCTTTGGCTTTCATTAGTCAATGCGTGTATCAAAGCCTACGAGTTCCACGGACTTGGCTTTAGGGCCAACACGCGGTGCGGCTCGTAGGTCACATGAAAAGTGTTCCCCTTTTCATGTGGGTGGTTTTCGGGAAACTAAAAAACCCCGGACTCTCACAGGTTAAATCAAATAATTAATTAATTAAAATGTTACAAAATTTTCAAATCAAAGTGCAAAGAAATTACAATTTTATAATAATTAAATAGCTACCATTAAAAATAGATGAATGGGATAAAAAATCTTTCAGTCAACTCACTTATAAAAAACTCTAAATATGGAATAAAAATTGTAATCCTATAGTATTCTTCAACATCTAAATTTGCATTATCTGAACAAGGATTTCCTCTATTTGCTTGCCTTTTTGTAATTCTTTTTACAGCTAGTTCAAGTTCAAATACAGAAGCCATAACCTAAAAAAAAAAATGTATTACATTTGTAAATAATACATTTATAATATTATTGTTAATTAATAATTAGTTTTTGAAAATAACACTCACTTCAGCCTGTAAAAATAGTTTATGGAACTCTTCTTCTGCGTTGGCCCTTATTAGTTCTAAATTCTTTATAACATCATTAGAAAGTTCCACTGCTTCTTTCAGATCAATCCTTATTTTTTGTAATTGCTTACACAAAGTTAAGCCATACGAAAACAATAACTAAAATTACATAAATATAATTATAAAAATAATTTACAGGAAATTATAGGTAACCATATAGCTATTGATTTACTTTAACAACTTGAAGTGATATAATAAATTCCGAGTCAATTGATTTAGACAGTATAAAGGCATCTGTTCCTGATAAGTCATGACTCATGAGAAATTGAAATATTGTCTAAAGCATCCATGACAAATGGAAACAGTTCAGCAAAATCATTGACAGCATCATATCTTTGTATCCAACGCGTAGCACATAGCCTCTTCAATGTTTTAGCATTTGGTGTTTCATTTGCATTTTTAATACAATTCAAAAGCACATTGTTACGTTTTGGGGTATTGAAAAAGTCGTAAAGTTTTTCAATAATACTGAGACAATTTCTAATTGGTTGAATATTTGATGCTTTTGAAACTGCTAAATTTAATGTGTGTGCAGCACAATGGACATATATGGCTTTAGGATATTCTTCTCTAACTATTGCTTGGACTCCTTTGTATTTTCCACTCATATTTGATGCACCATCATACCCTTGTCCAATTAAATATTCACAATTAATACCACAACTTTTTAAACCTGAGAACACAAAACACATTACAACTAGTATGCAATTATCAATAAATTACTTTAATGATTGTTTTTAAAAATCATTACCATTTATTATAGCAGATGCCAGGTCATTTCCCGTTAAACTGTTAATAATAACAAATTGAAGAAAACTTTCATTAACCATATTGTTGTTGTCTATAAAACGAACGCATAATGTCAGTTGTTCTTTTGTAGCAATATCTGTTGTTTCATCAGCTAAAACAGCAAACCCCTCAGCAGCATTTACTTTCCCAACTATTTCTTTTAAAATTAATTTATCACATATACAAATAATTTCGTTTTGCATTGTTGGTGATATGTATTTGTAACCTCTTTCTTCTTCTATAATACTATTTAAAAAAGTATCACCACGGGATCTATACTTTAAAATTGCCCGAAAGTTACCTTGATTTTCAAATTCTACAATAATAAAAATCAAGTTTTATGTTTTTACAATTTAATAACCACTAATAAATTAAGATATCATTGACTCGACCACTCAACATTATTAAAATATAAAATAGTAAAATACAGTACATATTAACAAGTTCTAATAGTTACCGTTTATTTTTCCAGAATCGCGATGTCCTCTGAGTGCAATTTCTTGTTGTCCACATAATATGACACATTCAATTATTGGAATTAGGCGACTTCTATTCAATTTAATTTGTTCTGTCCTATTTGTTTCTAATTTTTCAATTATAGTAACTTGTTTATGGTCAAGTATAGTTAAAAAATGGTCAGCATCTAATACAGACGATAAATGGTATTTCAACTTGGAATGATTTCGAAATGTCTAAAATTAATAAGAATACGTAATACAATTAAATACAGAAAATATAATAATTTTAAAAGTGCATATAATATAACTAATCTATAAAATATATAAACAAAAGATATCAATAATAGATAATTAAAATAATTAAATACATAGAAAATAATTTAACACCTCTTTTGCTTTTTTCCAGTTTGAAAAAGCAGTTGAAACTAGTTGCCCCAGAGGCTGGCCACCAATACCGCCATATTTAGCAAAAAGCAAACAGTATTTGCAAAAAACTCCTTGTTTAATTTCTGAATAAACAAGCCAATTAAATTCTGTGAACCATTTATATTGAAATTTCAGACCTCTTGCTTTATATTTTTCCAACAATGGAAACTCATAATTTACATTTGGTACCCACACATTTCTAAGCACCTATAATATTATATTAAAAATAAAGCAAATAATCAAATTATATTTATTAGTTAGTACAATATTCAATATTGTATATACTATATAAATAAAATAATGGATTTAGTATGCAAAATAGTTTACTAGTGGCTAGCTTACACTACTATATTTAACTTACAAGCTTTTTATCAGCATCAGTAAGTGTACAATTAGTAAAAAGCCCTATATCATTTGATCTAAAATTAGTTTCCAATTCATTATCAATAATTTCATCCTGAGGAAAATAACAAAAATCAAAATTTAAAGCAGTATTTACTATTTAGCAATGCATTAAAGCATTAACACAATTAAGCAAATAGTATTCTTAGTTGGCACTATGCAATAACTAATTTTTTT